TTTGTAGCAAGCTCGCGACTGTCGAAACTCGCGATTTTGGTAGCAAGCTCGCCACGACGAAACTCACAACTTGGTAGCAAGCTCACGACTTGGTAGCAAGCTCGCGACGGGGCGCCTGCGGCGCTCAAACTCGCCACGGGGCGCCTGCGGCGCTGAAACTCGCCACGGGGCGCCTGCGGCGCTCAAACTCGGATACCGGCCGCCGTCCCAAACTCGCCGGTTTTGGGGCAGTGAAAAACTCGCCACGGCGCTCAAACTCGGGCGGCCTGCGGCCGAAAACTCGGACCTTTGCAATGCTGTTGTTCGACGCCGCCGAGGAGTGTCGCCGGTGGAGGGACTGTCCTGTTTTCCCGGTTGTGCTCTTCTGGCGATCGGCTCGGTCTTGAAGTTTTTCCGGTGTCCCAAGACCACGTCGACGAGCGGCGCGAGCACGACGCCGAGGAGGTTCTTCGAGACGACCATCATCGCGACGCAGGTCTCCACGACCACGCTCCGCGAAGGGCTCCGGACCGCGTCCGGGAAGAGCGGCGACGAGCGCCCGACCGTCCCTCGGGCGCCGGCCCTGCCCCGCGGCGCCGGGCAACAGCCGCCCGAATTCCGTCGACCCCACCGTAAAAACGCCACTTTCGCTCACCGCGCCGCCAAAATTTCTCCGCGCGAGCGCGGACGAGGCCGCTGCGCGGCCGAGAAACTCGCGACGCTCCCAAACTCGGGCTCGCTCCGCTCGCCCGGAAACTCGCGACGTCGGGAAAACTCGGGGCCTGCGGCCAAACTCGCGACGGGGAAACTCGTATACCGGCCGCCGTCCCAAACTCGGTTTTGGGGAACTCCCCGGCCAAAAAACTCGGACGATGATGCCCTCAAGGTGCCCTGTGCGTGCGTGAGCGAGTGGCTCTGGGTGGCCCACAGAGCGTGGCGTCCCTACGAATTCGGCGCGGCGCGGAGTCCGAGGACGTCGCCGCGGTCGAGGTCGAGGGCTTCCGCGGGTCCCGCGACGCACGCGGGGCCGAGGGCGCGAGCTGGCGAGCGAGGAAAACGCCCCCCCGCAGCGCTCGCGAGACGCGCGCGCGCCCAGGACGTCGTCGAGGCCGTTCCGGGGCCTTCGGGGACCTCGCCCCCCGCCGCGGCCGCGGCCCGGGACCGCCGCAAGCCCTCGACGCCCGCGCCCCGCGCCCCCGCGCCGCGCCGAATTCGTAGGGACGCCACGCTCTGTGGGCCACCCAGAGCCACTCGCTCACGCACGCACAGGGCACCTTGAGGGCATCATCGTCCGAGTTTTTTGGCCGGGGAGTTCCCCAAAACCGAGTTTGGGACGGCGGCCGGTCCCCGGGTCCCCCCGTCGCGAGTTTGGCCGCGCCGCGAGTTTTTCCGAGGTCGCGAGTTTCCGGGCGAGCGCAGCGAGCCCGAGTTTGGGAGCGTCGCGAGTTTTATCGGCCGCGCAGCGGCCTCGTCCGCGCTCGCGCGGAGAAATTTTGGCGGCGGGGCCGGCGAAAGTGGCGTTTTGCGGTGGAGTCGGCGTCCGCGGAGACGGAATTCGGGCGGCTGT